ACAAGGAATCATCCCTTGAATTATTTCGGTGTTATTTAGATACACCCTGTATAGATAATTCTTCATCCCAATATATAGTTATTCAACATTTTTCCCATAGCGAAGTTCAGCAAATACCGATGGCGAGAGCACTATGTTTATTGATTTGATGTCTACCTATAATATATTATGTAAAACAAGAAGGCACAACTACTAGTGTTCCGTTTCGAAGTACATTAAATTGACAAATTTCATAACGTAGTTACTGCTGCCCGTTTACGTTTCCCCACCGCTTAGGGAACGATCGGGCGTGTTCGGTGAACACACGGGTATGATCTCGAGACTCTAGTGCTCTCGAGACTATAGCGTCATTAGCGTCTGGCGCAAGGAGGTATAAACAACGTATTGGGAGACTCGCGCCAAGCGATACGCGGACGCGGGCAAACATCAACTGTGCCCATCACCTATATAGCGACGCGCGGCTGCACTATTAATAGTCTAATAACACAAAACTAACAATTTGAATACTGATAAGAGGATTTGGAGATTGAGGCCATAAAATGCAAAAATAAAATTGGGGTACCTATACCTATTGTAGGTATTCATAAAATACAATATTATTCTTTAAGCATTTAAGTTTACATCATGAATAAAGAACGTAAATATTTGAATAAATTTTTTCTTTAATTAATTACTAATAATAAGACTAGTGATAATGGCAAGTAAGTTGATATATTGTCAGTATATTTGTGGTATCGTAATGGTATAACCCATAATCAGTGATAGAATAATGTACAGAATGTATTACATTTGAAAATCCAAAATTGATAGATGGTCAGAATGACGTGGTCATCGCAGAGAATCTATGCCGCTAGTCTCCAAGTGTGATGCATTGATGAAATCGGCTCTCCAGGAACCTAAAAATGCAATAATATACAGGGTGTCCCATTGAAAAAACATCATCAGCCAATATCTTGGAATTTGAACACCCTTTACCGCGTGACACAGATACATGCTATACCAACCTTTTCTCTTTTGGTTTTCTGTCTATATTTCTGAAATTTGGAACATCAAATATGCTCACTAGAGGGCTATATCTCACATTTTAGGAAATTTTTTTCATCTTTCAATTCTCCTGGAAATGAGATCAACTTTCGATTTTCAAATGAAACACCCTGTATTTCATTTCATATTCGGTTAGCGATTATTATAACGAATTCAACAATACCGGGTAAGATTGGGTTATTTCGAACGATTACGAAAATATTCGCGTTCGAAATTCCCATAAGCTGGAGTGTGACAAAGATAGAAGTTTCCATATTGCGCCGTCACACACGCGAGTGCGCACACAGCGTCTGCAGTGTAGACGCATCTTTCTTCCTTGCTCATGGTGCCTGACTGAACGAACACTGGACAAACACCGGAGAAAGCAGGCTGGTCGATGTTGCCCAACAGTTTGTCGAAAATGTTTTCTCCCCACGAAAATAAGTTAGCCTAACAGTTGCCTACCTGTTCAACTGTTGCACAACAATGTTTGCTTGGTCTGTTCCCACCTTTACCCAGCGAGGCATGAATGTGACATCCTAAGGATGTTTGTGTTTACTGGAATGTTCGACATATAAGCACAGATTACCCCGCTTTTAGCATGTTCACTATCTGAACATCTCAAACAACTACATAGTGTCTGAAGAAATCACTTTGGTCTCAGCTCACACACTCTCTACACGATCCTTTGGGCCATTCATTGATTGGACTAGGCTGCTGAGCAGGAAAATAGAAAATGTGAGATTGTCATTTTATATTGTGACATATCACGAGGGGTATTTTTCAGTAGCTACTTGTATACATGAAGGAAACGACTAACTTAATGAAATAATATGATCTGTAGGTTAATCGGGGAGGTGGTATACATTCAATATTTCAGATTTTTTTGAATTTTCTCTCCTCGTTTATATTGAATGGAAAAATATGAAAATTATTTCGATATACGTGTAGTTAAGACAAATCAGATGATTTGCCCCAAAATGTCACTGAGTTTAAGGGATTTTCCTATCAGAGAGCCTAAAAGAAACATTCACTAGCTAGTCAGTGACAATTTGTATTGAGAAAGCTTTGGAGAAATAAAGGTATATATAATAATGATAATAATAAATGTTTTTATTGGACAGACATTATATCAGTTGATATATACAGGTTGAACACTTAATAAATGCCTGCCAAATGGAAGAGTTCAAATTTCCTGTGAAGACAGGAATTTGCGCTCTTCCACTCAACCAGTAAAAACTCATTCATATGCATTCAAGTCAATATGAATGAGTTCAAATATATATTCAAAAATAACTAACTACTAGAATCTAATAATAATTGAATGATACATGCATAATAATCTGAAACATCATTATGTTTATAACAGAAGGAAGAAAGATGAAAAAGCAGAAAAAAAGAGAGAAGATATATACATATTTATGAACTATAGTCCTATATTAGAGATATTTTCATAGATCAGGTTGTGAACAGATATTGACAGAGAACTATATCAAGGAAACGAAATATAGAAAAAATATAAAATTTTCTCTTAGATCTCAAAACACGAAAAATGGATATTCGTATAGAAAATTCGTATTCGTCGACAATTCTCAGTTCTCAGTGATAATTGGTGACGTTGGCAATCAAATGAGTTATAGGATATTTTCAGAGCTGGGCAGAGTACTGCACTAAAGTACTCAGGAGTACTTTACAATGAGTATGTCTGAATAGTACTCATAAGTGTTTGAGTATGAGTACTTATATGAGAAGTATTTGATGCAGTGAGTACTTTCACAACTTTCAGAGAGTACTCGTGAAAAATGAGTAATGAGTAATGAGTATGAGTAATGAGAGAAATGATTAGAGACTCCAAGTAGAAGATACTCATCAACTTACCAAAAATAACACTCCATAAGGCGTAAACGTATTATGCTGACAATAACAACTCACACCTATCCACTGCACGAAATAAAATGTAAAATGAGGCACGAAATAAAATGTAAAATGAGGCACGACATTCAAGACAAGCTGAGACTTGTCTGTGCGCAGTTGATGCGCACGTTGGTACTCGTATTCGTTACTCGCCAGATGTAGGAACCACAAGTACTCAGAACTCTGAAAGTGAAAAGTACTCAAATTTTCTCGGGGACTGAGTACGTCAAAATAAAAGTACTCACGAGTACCGATTACTGAGTACTTCGAGTACTCGAGTACAATTTTGAGTACAATTTACTCGAGTACTGCCCAGCTCTGGATGTATTCATCAATTAATCTTGAATTTACCTTATTCATTTTCAGATTTCAGTAGTGAATACCATGTTCTATCTATATCAACTGAACAGGAAGCAATGTTATTGTCTTAATTAATGGAAATAACATCAAGACGAATACGAATTTGCTATACAAATATTCAATATTCAGGTTGAAAACTGGAGCAGATTCGTTTCCGAGACGTCCAAAGCTAAGTGAAAATTTGATATTTTTTCTATATACCTCATCTATTTCTCTTCTCCACACCTTTTTCAATAAAAATTGTCATTGAAAAGCTAGTAAATTTTTCTGTTTAGGCTCTGATAGGAAAATTCTTTAAACGCAGTGACATCTTCTGTCGAATCATCTGATTTGTCCTTACTACTCGTATATTGAGATAATATTCATATTTCTGTATTTTATAGAATCGAGGAGAGGAAATCCTAAAAAAATCTGGCATGATGAAATAATATGAATTCACCATTGAATAACAATTAATTCGCATATACTTTTACTTTATTTCATAATTTCAATTTCATATAGGTAGTACAAAACAACAAGTACCATATTAGGTAGGTACCTCCAAAAAATACCGATTGCAAAAAATACTCTCATTCATTCTTGGATCATAAGTCTGTACCTATAAGTTAAGCACCCTGTTAATGAAAAGCTGATCAAACATTTTTACCACAGCCCCGTATATCTGATGATAAATCAACTGTAATAAAAAAAATCAGACGAACGGTTTGGTAGGAAGCCAACGTCGAAAGGATATAATGTCTGATTTCTACTTTTCATGTGTATTTTTGCAAATCAGTGTGTATGTATACAGCGTGTCTCACTATAAACGTCCCCCCTCTATATCTCACCTTAGTCGAGCGATTCTAACCAAAATTGAAGCGATATGAATATGATAAATTTTTCAGAAACGAACAACCTTTTGGACAATGTCATGAGATAAAAAGAGATCAATTTTGTGTGAAATCATGTTAGGATTTTTTTGCAGGAAAACTAACTTCATATTATTGTTCTTCATGCTTCATATGCAAAACTTACCACATTCCGAATCAACAGGATTGGCCTCATTTTTTCCATTTTCTGCCCCGGAAAAAATTGTGAATTCTAATCAACTGCGAAATTTGGAACGTTCAATAGCACTGGTAGTTAGAAAATTATGATTGAAAAAGCCAGATAAACTATTTTTTGTTTATTACGTTCGCAAAAATGCTACACTGATGTGCCTGTTTTTTGGAACCCTCCATAGAAATTATATGATAATTCACATATGGTGGTTTGAAACCATGAGGAACAATATCATGAGTTCAGTTTTCCTGTAAAAAAATCCTTAATGTTTCATGAAAAATTTACCACTATTAATAAACACGCATGGTACTGTCCAAGATTGATTTCGTCTCTGAAAAACTGATATCATATTGATAATTTTTCGTACCGGTCCAAATGGTGAAAATTGCAAGTCTAATAGCTGAGATATGGAGGGGAAGCGTTTAAGTATTCAGGTATATATATTTATATGTAGGTATTCCTAGGGTTTTGAGCTTATATTTTGTTCCTATGTACAAAGAAATGTTTTGACAGACGATCCACACCATGTTCAGGAATTATCCAGACTGGATCGATAAGGTGTGTCTGTTCAATGAATTCAGATAATTCAAGACATAAAGTCCGAAAAACTATAGCTGCTGGAGTCCGTCTAGGTAGGTACTCTAGGTTATAGGTACTCAATTTCACATATTCTCGAACATCTCCACTCTTCTAACAGTGTTTCCTCGTCTGATGTCAGCCAATGTCTTGTATTTGTCTCGACCTTCGAGAAGGTTTGCCCTGTGTATTTTGTCAAGGTCGGATTCTTTATCTTGTTGACGCGTTTCATTCAATTTACTCTGAAGCATCTGAAAAAAAAAATAAGTATAAAGATTATTTATATCAACTATATTTGGAGTTGGAAGGTAAAATTTATATGTTTGCCGATGACACAACCTTGATCTATTCAGCAGGTCCAGCACAACAAATTAGGGATGAAATTTCAAGTGAGTTGAAAAATATAATTATCAATTATTATCATGTTATAAATTGAGAATAAATCATAGTAAAACAGCATTTATGTTCATCTCAAAGAAATCAAGATGTAATGAGTTCAAATTTCCAGTCGCATGTAATGATGATGCCATCAAATATTCAAATAATATCTAGTTTCTTGGGCTGTACATAGATCAAAATTTGTCATGGTCAAAACATATTGAAATATGTACTTAAAAAAATATCTCCAATAATAGTTATACTATTCAGGGTACGGAATCAAGTTCCTATAAAATGTCTCAAATCTATATTATACTTCTCCTTGATCTATATTGAACTCGAATATTCGATTTCTGTATGGGAATCAACAAAACTATCAATTATGAAGCCTCTCAAAACTCTTCAAAATGAAATGATCAAATGTATATACAGACCAAATTATTTGGAACCTACTAAGAACAAATACAGAAGAAGACAGCTATTCGATATAGATTCTCTATATATATGAATACAAATTATTATCATTCATTAATTCAGTTAAATATTGTCAAAAGCATTCAATTTTGGTTTTCAAAATTATTACTAGTCACCACAACAATACAACTAGACAAGCAGATCAATTTTTTGTCAAGAAAATCAAATCAGATATTGGTAAAAAATCCATCTATCACAATGGAATGATACAATTCTATTCACTAACAAATAACGTGAATCTGATTAATATGATTGGAAAATTTTGAAAGGAATTCATTTTTATAGATTTCTCGTACAATTACCATAGTTTTCCATTGGGTACCCTAAAGCTGAGTCAATTGAGAATCATTTTCAGTGTGTCTCCTTTATTTTGTCAAATATATTTGAGATGAATTATAAGTGAGAGGTCGTCGACTTTTCGACGGTGTTTTAATGGGGTCAAAGAGTTGGTGAGTTTGGCATCACTCACCAGACGAATGGCTCTGCTCTGGATGGAATCTAAGAGCATAAGCGTATGTTTGGGTGCTGAACCCCATACCTGAGAACAGTATTCTGAAACTGGCCATATATTTGCTTTGTCGATGATGATAAGCTGTTGAGGTCTACAGTAGATTTTCGCACTGAACAAGAATTCGAGTTTTTGTGAAGCAGCTTTTGCGATGGATCGGACATGATTTTTCCATGAGGGAGTATTGCTGATGGTAATACCGAGCATAGATATAGTAGTCTTGATGGGAATGGTAGTACCACTGGTACCAGACATTGTTATATCAAGCATACTGAGTTCTGCCTCACTAGAGAAGATAGAGGCTTGCGTTTTGGTAGCAATGAATTCAATACTAAGTTGTTCGTTCGTTTTCCAGGCTAATGATGGATTTTGACCCATATCTACAGCGTGATTTTTATTTTTTTTATATTTTTTTTGTAAGTACCGCTCCACAGTCAAAGTGGGGAACTTGCGCACCTGTTGCCTTCCTTGGATTATGTAACCATTTATCAGGCGCCCTCTCCGGGAACTTTTTTGCATACGAGTACTTGGTGCAAGACACTACCGTCTCTCTAGATGTAAAAATCACTTTTAATGAAGATCCTGATCAGGATAATCAAAGAACATCGTGTGTTCCTAGGGAGGAGATTATATGTTGTTGGGAATATTAACGTTTTGAAATGGGTCAAAATCAACCGTCTCTCTATAAAACTATTTATACGAGTACTTGGAGTTAGACACTGCCGTGTCTTTTGATGTAAAAATAAGCGTTGTGAAGTTATTGGAAGAAAAACGAACATTTTAATTTTTGGTGAAGGAACATTTTAATTTTTGGTGAAGGAACATTTTAATTTTTGGTGAAGGAACATTTTGAATTTTTGGTGAAGGAACATTTTGAATTTTTGGTGGCGAAACATCATTCACCATTTTATTCACTTATTCACAATGACACAAGAGCTTTTTTCCGAAGTAAACCTGACATTTCATGAGAGTTTCATTGCCTGGAAATAAATCGCCTTCGAGGAAAAATCACGAGTTCGTAGGACGAATAATTTTTTTTGCAGTTTTTTTAGTGCAATTTTCTGAAGGCAACAAAACTCGAATTATGAATGTCAAGTTTATTTTAACCAAAGAAAAATGCGTAAATAATAATAATAATAATAATAATAATAATAATAATCCGTCTTTATTTCTTCAAAAAAATATTACATAGTAACATGAGGTATAGGTGGTATGTGCATCAGGCGAAGTTTAGCTAGGAAGCTATTCTTACACTTAAGAGGGCATATTCCACAGCGCCTCCGCCAATAAAAGAGGTACCGCTCCCAAGTTCCCCTATGGTTATGGATCATCCAAGAGGCTCAATTTTTTTTTTCTGGGTAGTCAAAGGTGCAATCGATGCATCTTATCGAATGGATTTTCATTTTTTTACATAGACTAATTTATAATCACCTGTAAAGTAGTGCGTTTTTGACCGATTTTGTGAATTTTTTTCTACGTTGTGGAATCAAAAATTGAAAATCTAGTCGATAAGATGCACAGATCAGATGTAGTACTCTTCAGAAATAATTTTTGTTTGCTGAAATCTTATTTGGTTTTCGCATGGGAAATTGGGAGCGGAGGCACCGTGAAGAAGAATTTTCCCTGTGGGCGCGGCACTTAACAAAAATAAGCTCCTCCCATAAAGTTCAAATGCCTTATTGATAGTCAATGGTCCTATGATGAAGTATGGTATTCATTATTTTCACGAAATAGTCTGCGATCCAATTTGTCTTTTCATACTACGAACCTATTTATATTTCGTTCAATAAACCTACCAGAGCCTTATACTTGATATATAATAAATATAGGTATCATGGAATCAACAAAGCAACTGTGTTATACCTACTCAGTTAATAGATTATTTTCTAATTCTTCGAACACAGGGAAGTACTGGAATGTTCTAAGCGATATTTTTAATATACCTATAGTCCAACAAATAGATAGATATAAGGAACATGATAAAATGATCAAATGGATCAGGGTGATTTAAACTATATGTAGACCAATTTTTTCCATGCAAAGTTGAGCCACCAAAAACACAGTTGCTTCGTCATACCGTCATTTCTATTGAATAGGTGAGATGAGCGAAAAATTAAGATTTATTAGACATTTTACATTTTCCATATTATTTTTTATTTTGAAAAAAATGAATGAAATACCGATTTACCTATTCACAGAGGAATGTCCTAGATAACAATAATAATATGGAATATATAGATAGAATCCAAGATGGAATTCTTTTGATGGTAGGTTAGGTATGCGTATTTTGCTTTCCAATCAATTCAAAGAATCTAGAAAATAATCTATAGAAGAGTTGAGATCAAACTGAGTCAAAGCTGTGGAAAGAAGAAGAAAGAACGAATCACTGTCAGTCTTTGGAGGGATATATGCAAGAGAAAAAATCTCCACCTCTCAGACGGTTAGTTAGAGAATTATATATCCAAAAATACCTAATCAATGCAACATCGTTGGTTTAAGGACAATGAACATTTGCATCAGAATCTGAATTAGAATAGGTGAGATGAGCGAAAAGGTACTCCAAGATTTATAAGACATTTTACATTTTCCATATTATTTTGGAAAAAATTAATGAAATAGTGATTCACTCATTCACAGATGAATGTCCTAGATAATTATAATTATATGGAATATATAGATGGTGGTATAGCTATAGGGATGCGTTTTTTGCTTTCCAATGAATTCAAAGAATCTAGAAAATAATGTATAGAAGAGTTGAGATCAAACTGAGTCAAAGCTGTGAAAAGAAGATAGGAAAAACGAATCACCGTCAGTCTTTGGATGGGTGTGCAAGAAAAAAAATCGTCACCTCAGACGGATAGTTAGAGAATTATATATCCGAAAATAATCAATGCAGCATCGTTTGGGAAAAATGAACATCCCAATAATGCAGAATTGGAGAAACATATTGAAAAAAAAAATTAAAAATAAATACATTGAATCGATGAAAATCTCCAGTATATACCTATTGCTGCTAGTCCTGATGGAGTAACTATATGAAGATGGCGAAATAATCATTAAAGTTCAATGTCTCTATAATTGTGCCAAATATCTGACTACGGATAAAGGAATAGCGAAAAGAAAAATAACATTTTGGAATGAAGATGGCCAAGTTAACAAAAACCACAATTGGTTTCATCGAATCCAGGGACAACACCATGTTAAATAAATTTTTTATTCTGCATCTTGGACTCGAAATGGCATAAAAGTGGAAGCTATTCCTAGATATGATGATTTCTGGTCATCCAAAATGGAATCAGAAATTCATTTTGATACGATGATCCCGGAACTTGTCGACACCAGACTTATCAGAGGCATGGAAATTAGATAGCCTACTTATGTCAATGGGAAGGACACTACATCGCATGCTTAGTGGTTACAATATTATGTTTGTATCAAAATCGATTGAATCAATCGAGGGGTAAACCCGTGTAAACCACCACCTTACAATAATTATGATGTACACTTGCACAGGCATGTGGGATTCCGAGTCACCTATTGCAATATAAATAGTAGTTTGAAAAACTAATGAAACACGCTTTTATAGATAACCAAACTAAGAAGAAATAAGTAGAAAATAAAGAGTTGTTTGGAAAAATGAAGAGATGGATTGCCAAAGTAAAGAGAAGCAGAACATAAATAGATCAGTTAGAAAAACTAATGAAACACGCTTTTATGGATAGTCAAACTGAAGAGAAGTATAGAAAATAAAATAGAAAAAGTGTGTTGATACATATTAAACTTAAAAAATTTTTTTTAGAAATGATGTTTATGACAAAACAACGTTTGTCAGGTCAGCTAGTGCCTGATATAACAATGTCTGATGCCACTAGCGAAAAGCTACTTTACACC